AATGTGGTGATGTTATTCTCTTTTGGCCTATTGCCCAGTAGCAACTACACTTGTTAGAGTCAACGATATTGTTAGATGGGCCATTGTTTTCACCCAAATAAGCATGTATTTTCACAACAGATTTTCAATGATGTGCCTCATTAAGAATCCCTGGCCCAACTGCATCATTTAGCAGAATCATAATTTTGAAGGAGAGGTGGTCTTGGAAGAAGAACGTTCCTTGCTTGACTTGCTAAACCATATGTGGCGACAATTCCAGAGGACATCCCTGGAAGAAAATGAAATGATTTCCATTGTACATTTCCTATTTAATGGCAATGGGGAAACAATTTCCCAGCACCGGCAGAAACAATTTTCTTCCCGAACAAATGGAGAACTAATGATTTTGCACTCAGAGCAGTTACTTGGCAATGTTGCTGGGCGTTAGTGTAGCTAGAGAGATGGAGGGAGGAGGAGGAGGAGGAGGAGAAGGAGGGAACAAACTGGGTGGGTGCCAAGATGCTCAACAGCCATGTAACTGATCTCAAACCAAATCCATGAAAGTCAGGTGGCATGCAGATTAGACAGCAAAGCAGCCAGCTAATTTTAAGCAACAATAACATGTCGGGAGGTTCTGCCTCTTGAGAAGCGCTTGGAGTCAGGGTCATGAGAAGAATGATATTGGAGGCCATCTTCAAAGACTTTTGGAATCTGAAACATGGAAATGATGTGCTCTCAGTATTCCTCTGGGATGTGTTCCAGTTCTCTAGAAGCTGGAAGAATGGAGATTGCCAGAAGGAAAAAAAAGAAAATCTGCTTTGAGAGGGGGTGAATACAGATGTCCAAGTGGTGAATGTTTTTATTGCTGTATTCTGTATTTGCAGGGACATTCTGTGAGCCACCCTTTAACATAATGGCACAGGGATGGATAGCCTGTGATCCTCTGGATGTTGGTAGACGGCAGCTTCCCCTATTCCTGATTATTGGTCATGCCAGATGGGACTGATGGCACGCAATGACATTTAGTGGGCACCTGGAAGAGAACAAGTTTTCTGAGTGGTAGGGATGGCAGAAGAATGTGATTCAGTCTGCATTTAAAGACAGACTTACCTGATTCAAAACAATATGCAAACCAAAACGAAGCCATCCTTCAAAATATTGACTTCTCCAAATTTTGAAATGCAGTTCTCCAGCCAAGTATTGTGTACAGAAATGTACCAGTTAAATTAATAGAAAATTAGTGAAAACAACATACACAAATGCATAATCACAGAATTATAGAATTGTAGAGTTGGAAGGGACCATCACAGATAACCCTACGATCTCTGCTTAAGAACCTCCAAATTTGATGGACAAATTTTGTTTCGTTCACATTTAAAGAGGAACCTACATTATTTATACTTTCTGAACTGGTATGTGGACCAAAATATAGCCCCTCTTAGAAATTCACATTGGTCCGAATTTTGCACTGCAAAAATTCATAAGCTAGGGTAAAGCATGCATAAAATGCATTTGTTTGTGTAAAGAACATACAAAGATGCATAATGTTTGAGGAAATTGTTTTGCAAAAATGTGTATATTAATTTAACATACAAACACGTAATTAGCACTAAAATGCTGGTGGATTTTCAGTCAGTCACCCAAATGGATGTGCAAATGTTGGTAAAGGCAGGGGGGAATGATAAGCAGAGAGAAGCAGAGAACTATTAGATCCCTACTTCTAAATAAACATTTATGAGATTGCTCTGGCAATGAATGGGGGGAAATGCACATTACTGTTAGGATCGAACAAAGTGGAGTGTTTTGTCCTTGTGAACCAGCTGATCCTCTCTCCTCTGCCCGGATAATTGTCCTGAATTATCAATGCAATGTCACCTTTTGACAACAGGGAAATATTTGTGGAAACAATAGAGGAGGCTTTGCACATTCCTCTCTCTCTCTCTCTCTCCTTTGTGCAGCTCTCTATCTTCCTCTCTCCCTTTCCAGACTCACTTCCAATACCACTACTCCAAGGTTAGGGGTTAATTGGTAACTTTCCTTTGGGGCACTTAGCCAGTCCCTCTTGGCTCAGAAATACAATTGCATGTCAGCACTGATCACTCATGCCTGAAGAGCTTAAGGAAAGGGAAAGCTAGTGGAGCGCAAGAGATACACACCATCAAGTGTCACCATTAATCACAGGCACCAAGCTTTTTAATGCACAGGGTATTTTACATCAGTCGGCGCACTGCACACCTTCAAAGTGTACCTTGCAAACATGAGGCATTCCAGTATTTCCCATTATCCTCTCACATGCATCGGCCCTGCATGCCTTTTCCTAAGAAGGCTGGAGACATCACCTTGCTGGATCAGTCCAAATGCCCAGGATCCTGCTTCCAGAAGTGGCTGGCAAAACATGTTCCTGGCAATCCCAATTATGCACAAAACTCTGTCAATACAAATTATGTGCCAACTTGTAAAGATAAAGGGTAAAGGGACCCCTGACCATTAGGTCCAGTCGCGGACGACTCTGGGGTTGCGGTGCTCATCTCACTTTATTGGCTGAGGGAGCCAATGTACAGCTTCTGGGTCATATGGCCAGCATGACTAAGCTGCTTCTGGCGAACCAGAGCAGGGCATGGAAACGCCATTTACCTTCCCGCCGGAGTGGTACCTATTTATCTACTTGCACTTTGACATGCTTTCGAACTGCTAGGTGGTCAGGAGCAGGTACTGAGCAATGGGAGCTCACCCAGTCGCGGGGATTTGAACCGCGACCTTCTGATCAGCAAGTCCTAGGCTCTGTGGTTTAACCCACAGCGCCACCCGCGTCCCTTGTGCCAACTTATAAATGCCTGCTAAAAGCTTTTCTATTCCGCCAGGCCTATATAGGCAATGAAGAGTACATGTCCAACAATGGCTTGTTGATGCTTATTTTAAAGCTTTTTTTACTTTTAATTTTTTAATGGTTTTTACTGTATGTTTTTTTATCCTTTCATGTTGTAGATGCATACATACATAATTTTATTTGTATGCTGCCTTTCCATAGTTCGAGCCATGCTCAAGACGGCTTACAATATGGAAATATATATATATATAATTACAAACATAACCAAAATAGTCATAAACAATAAATAAAACATCAAAAAGTACATAACCAATTAAACAATTTCCACATAAATCATAAGATTGAAAATAAAGATACAAAAGATTAATACCCAAAACAGCAACAACCCCACCCCCACCCAATGAAAACCCCCAAACAATTCCCCAACCCAAGAGTCTGTTCAGCAGCCTCAGCTTTTGTAGTTGGAGTCAGTCTGGGCCCTTCCTCTCATGCCAGGTGGTCTGCAAGGCAAGGAGCAGGTCTTCCAGAACTCACTGCCAAGAAATAAACTGCTTAGTTATGTTTTGTGATTTAACTGTATATAAATACTTTTATAAATAAATGCTAATAAATCTAAGGTGTATGGAGTATGAAGGTAGTGTGGGTGTACCATTCTGTTGGTTTTCCGTAGCGTAACATCTGGGGACGTAGTGCCTCTGAACATGGAGAATCCATTAAGCTGCCATCCAACCAGCACAAAGGAAAGTGGCCTGCAGCCCAACCATCTTGGACAGTAGAGCCATCAGGAAGAGCAATGGAGACCCTTAGGCAGGAGATTCAGCTACCCAAGAATTCTCAAGCCAAAAAAAAGTTGCTTTAGAATAATCTGCAAGCGTTTTCTAAAAGTTGGGAGACCCTCAGAAAAAAGAGAGAGCAACCAATTGCCCAGCTTGTTTTTGTCACACTCCCGCCCCACATTGCAATTTTTGGGAATGTTGCCCAAAGTTGTTGAGCTTTTGTTTAAGGGGGGGTTGGCCACGAAACAGATATGGCCACAGATAGCACAAATCCAACCAACGATCACATAAAACTGCCTGCCAGGAATGCGAGCGCTGCCTGCTGGGGGGGGGGGGGGGTGCCAGGCTGATCACCAGGTGTATTTGCATGATCAGCGGGTGGATTTTCACAACGATGATAGCGCCAATCGTGAAAAACTGCCCGCTGGGGGTGCGCGTGCACCGATCTGCCCAGGGGAATTTTGTCACCACCCCTAGGCATGACACCTGGGGCAGACCGCACCCCCACACCCTGCTTTCAACTGAGAGAGGGTTGCTACTTTTTCTGCCCTGCCTGTGTGCTATCTGGAGGCATCTGACTGGACACAAAATTCTGCAGTGGACCACCACTTGACCTGGTCCAGCAGGTCACTTCTTGTATCATGTTCTTACCCAGAAAGGTTTTTAGAAAGCGATCCTTGTCGAAGATGCTGCTGGGAGCACCCGTGTTGTCTCCCTACTGCTATAGAATCTTGTGGAGTTATTTGTTGTTCACACAAACACAAACACACCCCTTTGATGCATACGACTCCTTACTGTAACAGAAGCAAGTTAAAGGTCCCTGGTCTGTGGGGGCTTCCAATCTAATTTCAACAGAAGAGAAGACAAGGGAGAAAGCGGAGGGAGGAGGGGAAGGAATACGAAAGTGCTGAAGGAAACTGGGTGAGAATATGTGAAAATAAATTGCCACGTTGCCAGGCTCTGTTTCTGTGAGAACTAAAGAACTGAGCCAAAGTATTTTGATTCTGAACGATGAAAGCATTGCAAAAAAGAAAGAAAGAGAGGAAGAAGGAAAATTTATATTAGGCAAAACCGCATACAAGAAACGGTGTACAGTGGTACCTCAGGATACATACGCGTCAGGTTACAGACTCTGCTAACCCAGAAATAGTACCTCGGGTTAAGAACTTTGCTTCAGGATGAGAACGGCAGCAGCAGGAGGCCCCATTAGCTAAAGTGGTGCTTCAGGTTAAGAACAGTTTCAGGTTAAGAACAGACCTCTGGAACAAATTAAGTACTTAACCCGAGGTACCACTGTATTAGGAAAGCGATTGCAAGCCAAAGCTATGTACTTCCTCCTCTGACCCATCCCCAAACTCGGCCCTCCAGATGTTTTGGGACTATAATTCCCATATCCCTGACCACTGGTCATGTTAGCTAGGGATGATGGGAGTTGTAGTCCCAAAACATCTAGGCCAAGTTTGGGGATGCCTGTTGTAGAATAAGGACACAATACAACAGGCACCCCCAAACTTGGTCCTCCAGATGTTTTGGGACTACAATTCCCATCATCCCTGACCACTGGTCCTGTTAGCTAAGGATGATGGGAGTTGTAGTCCCAAACCGTTTGGAGGACCGAGTGTGGGGATGCCTGACATACAATGACTTTGAATTGATACAGGCCACAACTTTATAGGTTACAAATGAAAGAGGTTTGGATAATCATTAACTTCCGGCCAACTTGCCAGAAGTGGCACCATGGGTCAATCTGACAGCAGGATTTCCAAAAACTTACATTAAATTGGGGGACCCCCTGCCTGGGGGGTGCTATCAGTCTCGGGCCCCAACAGGGCATATGGACATAGGCAACTCGGCGAGGAAGAAACAGGTAAAGGGTCCAGGTCTAGGTTGCTTAAATGAACCAGGAACCTGAGGGAAGCCTATCTGCTCTGTCAGGCCTGCCCTCACCAATTGGTCAGTAAGGCCGGCAGGTTTGGTTCTGGCACCTAATAGAAAAAAGGTAAAGGGACCAACTCTATGATTCTATGATTCTATGACCCCTGACCATTAAGTCCAGTCGTGACTGACTCTGGGGTTGTGGCGCTCATCTCGCTTTATTGGCTGAGGGAGCCGGCGTATAGCTTCCGGGTCATGTGGCCAGCATGACTAAGCCGCTTCTGGCAAACCAGAGCAGCACACGGAAGTGTTGTTTACCTTCCCGCCAGAGCGGTACCTATTAATCTACTTGCAACTTGATGTGCTTTCAAACTGCTAGGTTGGCAGGAGCAGGGACCGAGCAAGGGGAGCTCACCCCGTCGCGGGGATTCGAACTGCTGACCTTCTGACCAGCAAGTCCTAGGCTCTGTGGTTTAAACCACAGCGTCACCCGCATCCCTATCTAATAGATAGAGGGGGCATTATGCCCATTCTACCTGCTCAGGTAGGACTCCAATCCCTGGAACTCCCTTGCCAGGTCCCTAGGAAGCCTTCACCATCCCACAATGCCACCACACCTAGGTGGTGAGTGATCTTGCGCTAAAACAATGGTGAATTTTCAGGAGGCCTTTTCGGGAAAATGTGGAGAACTGAAAATCGGGGGGGGGGGGGTGGACAGAAGGCAAAATGAACCGAAACTGTCTGCCTCACCCATTCCCAGTCATGACTCCCCACCCACAATCTTCACTTTTCTGGGCTAAACAGATCCCTTTCAGTCTTTCCTTATAGGACCATCCCCCCCATTTTTGTAGTCTTCCTCTGAACCTGTTCCAATTTGTCGACACCCATAGCAAGCAGAAGGGATCTAAGCTCGTTGCAAGACACTCTTCAAAGCAAAAGGAAAGACTTCAGAAGGCACCCCCTTCCGCATAAAACATGAGTCATTTCTAACATACACAGTATGAACCCACTTGCCACGCAGACATTAATAATAATAATTAATCTTTCTAGAGCTGCATTTCCGCTGAAACAGGGCGAAAAAAAGTGTCATTCACTTCAAAGGTGTGTGCGTGAGCAAGGCTTTCCTAGTTAATCAGAACCGGTTCCCCCTCTGCACCAGAATAGCAGGTAGCAATTTCTTTCCACTTTTGACCCTGTGATTTTGCTACTGAGTGGAGATTAAGGTGGCAATGATTCACTTACTATCATTTCAGGGAGATCAATTAAAGCCTATGCTTACACTGAGAGGTGTTTCCAGCTTGTGTGAAAATAAAAAGTAAATAGACATTTCTCTCCTTTCTCCCCGAAGACCAGGGCTGTCTTAAGCATATGCAGCACTAGGGTGCAAAGATCCGTCCGGCACCCCCCTCCCCAGGTTGCCCTGTCCCAGGTGTGCAGGAGGGAGGAGCTGGCCGGCTGCCTCAGCATCTCACTGGCAGAAGCAAGGGGAATAATAGCATCAATCTAGTCTGCTTTTGTCAGATCCCACCTGGAGTCCAGTGTCACGTTCTGGGCACCACAGTTTAAGGAGGATTTTGACCAGCAGATGAAGCCCAGTGCTTTCCATATAACTTTTAGATCATATGTAATAGGTCTCCTGGTGTTTGGGACTGATGGGTGACTCCTGGACCATCCCTCGAATAGCCTGCATATATGAAAATGCTCACATGGGTTGGAGAGCCCCCAGAAGGTGTTTGCAGCCACATGCAAGGTCATGGTAATAATAATAATTTACTATTTATACCCCGCCCATCCGGCTGAGTTTCCCCAGCCACTCTGTGCGGCTTCCAATCAAGTGTTAAAAACAATACAGCATTAAATATTAAAAACTTCCCTAAACAAGGCTGCCTTCAGATGTCTTTTAAAGAGAAGATAGCTGCTTATTTCCTTGACATCTGATGGGAGGGCGTTCCACAGGGTGGGTGCCACTACCGAGAAGGCCCTCTGTCTGGTTCCCTGTAACCTCACGTCTCACAATGAAGGAACCGCCAGAAGGCCCTCGGTGCTGGATCTCAGTGTCCGGGCTGAACGATGGGGGGTGGAGATGCTCCTTCTTAACTGCTAACCCCTGCTTCTTAAGGAAGATGAGAAATTGAAGGCCATCCTTCTTCCAAGCTGTGGGGAGGCATGGGCCAGCCCTGGCTTGAGACCAGAAGGCCTTGAAGGAGGACCATGTCCTGAACTGCAATACTCCCTGCATCATGGTATGTATCCAATTGCCCAGAAGTATTTGGGAAATGACCCTGGCAGGGCTGTCTTAAGCATATGCAGTGCTGGGGTGCAAAGATCCGCCCAGTGCCCCCCTCCCCCAGGTTGCCCAGTCCCAGGCGTGCAGGAGGGCAGAGCTGGCCAGCCGCCTCAGTGTCTCGCTGGCTCGGTCACCCCCGAACTTGTGGCGCAGAGCCGCCCGAGCAGAAGAGCCTGCCTCGGTGCTCTGACCGATGGATGGGCTCTTCCCCTGACTCAACTCTCAGGCCCCGGACTCTTGACCTGGTGCCCCTGAGAGCCTGGCACCTGGGTGCCCTGCACCCCTAGTGTCTATGAGTAAGACGGCCCTGCCGAAGATGACCCATCCAATGAGGCAGAGGTGGAATCTACACACATATAAAAAACGTTCTGAAAATGCAGTACGTTTCCGAGCACAATTCAAAGTATTGGTGCTGACCTTTAAAGCCCTAAATCGCCTCAGTCCAGTACAGTGGTGCCTCGCAAGACGAAATTAATCCGTTCCGCGAGTCTCTTCGTCTTGCGGTTTTTTCATCTTGCGAAGCACAGCTATTAGCGGCTTAGCGGCTTAGCGGCTATTAGCGGCTATTAACGGCTTAGCGGCTTAGCGGCTATTAACGGCTTAGCGGCTTAGCGGCTTTAAGAAAAAGGAAACAAACTCGCAAGAACTCGCAAGACGTTTCGTCTTGCGAAGCAAGCCCATAGGGAAATTCGTCTTGCGGAACGACTCAAAAAACGGAAAACTCTTTCGTCTAGCGAGTTTTTCATCTTGCGAGGCATTCGACTTGCGGGACACCACTGTATACCTGAAGGAGCGTCTCCACCCCCATCGTTCAGCCTGGACACTGAGGTCCAGCTCCAAGGGCCTTCTGGTGGTTCCCTCACTGCGAGAAGCCAAGTTACAGGGAACCAGGCAGAGGGCCTTCTCGGTAGTGGCGCCTGCCCTGTGGAATGCCCTCCCACCAGATGTCAAAGAGAAAAACAACAACCAAATTTTTAGAAGACGCCTGAAGGCAGCCCTGTTTAGGGAAGCTTTTAATGTTTAATAGGTTATTGTATTTTAATATTCCGTTGGAAGCTGCCCAGAGTGGCTGGAGAAACCCAGGGAGATGGGCAGGGTATAAATATATTATTATTATTATTATTATTATTATTATTATTATTATTATTATTATAATACATTGAATTTTCAATAAGGTTTACCATCGCCATCTAGTGTCACATTGTATATTGCACTTAAAACACACTTAAAACATTTTATTTACAGCTGTATAGAATCATAGAATCATAGAATCATAGAGTTGGAAGAGACCACAAGGGCCATCGAGTCCAACCCCCTGCCAAGCAGGAAACACCATCAGAGCACTCCTGACATATGGTTGTCAAGCCTCTGCTTAAAGACCTCCAAAGAAGGAGACTCCACCACACTCCTTGGCAGCAAATTCCACTGTCGAACAGCTCTTACTGTATAGCTGAGTCCAGAGAGAGAGAGAGAAATTTCGGGAGATGCCAGCCTCAGCTATTGAAATGTCTAGGGGAGACAGCATGGCTGTGGCCAAAGAGGGACCCCTAGGGTTGCCTCTGATCCTTTCTTTAATTTTTAAAGATACAGCTGAGCTCAAGTAAGAATTCAAGGCTTGGATTTTTGTTTTTTGAAGAGATCAACTGCAGATTTGCATTCTGGTACCCACTGTTATTGAGGGGAACTCAAAGCAGTACTAAGTTAAAGTCCCTTTGAGGTGCACTAGTGGAATGAATGGCTTATGCAACAGGAGTCGCAGGAAACCAGAATGGCCCAATGATTTGAAAGATTACTGTAGATCTGATACTTTCTTGTTACACAACCTGTTACACAACAAACTTCCACAACCACAACTGTCGTGTTGGATCTTACATTGCATCGCTTCCTTTTTTTAAAGGGGGGAATTCAAGTTATCTCACGACAATCTACAAAGCTTAAAAGCAAAGGAACAGCAATATTCACTGTGCATTAAAACAAAACTCCCTTCCTCATAGAATGACAAATCTTCAGGAATAATCAATTAGGATAATGCTGTATTTAGAAAACCAGCCAGTTACATCCCATCAAATGCATGTGAGTAGAAGAACATTTTAACTTGGTGCAGAAAATATGATCATGGCCTTATCAGGGAGAGTATTCCACAGATGGGCTACAACGGAATAGAGCCTCTCTTCCTACAACTCTCTAGACAAGGACTTCATATGTTGATCTTGGGAGATGGGTAGATTCATGATGAGAGATGCTTTCCATCAACAACTGAGGTCCTGAGCTGCATAAGTCTTTATGGGTTAAGACCAGCACTGAAACCACAACTGAAACTCTCCAGAAATGTACTTCAAATGCGTGAAATCTGCTTGACACATTTAGAAAGAAAACAGAATAGGAGAATGTCTTGTAAGGCCTACTGAAAGAAGTTGAGCATGCCAGACCTCTGCAATATAGGGGGAAGATTTAGAATTAGAGCAGTGTCAGTATTTTTATTTTATTACTGGTAATTTGTTTTATTTATTTGCATGTGTATTGTTTCCTTATCGGTGACTTAAGTACTTCAGCTGTGTGTAGTACCTATTGAATTTCAAGGACTTAATTAATTTTAATATAATATCCAATGGTACAATTTGCTTTTCAAAGGGAATTAACTTCTGAGCCATTGAGCAGTAAAAGTAAATACAAAAATACATAGATAGCAGAGAGAAAGACATTCCCATGCCAAGCTTGATTTGCATTTATATAGTTGCCATAACAGTAATGAGGATCAATTTGCTTAATGATTCAAGATATATTGGAATAAATCGCAAAGGCTGTTGGAAATTATCAGAGGCCAATTCAAAGAAATCTGGTCATTTGCTGTATCACCACATCCAAACCACTCCTTCCCAAAGATTATGAACTGATCTAGCATACGAATAGCCTTCTCTGGCCAACCAGATGCCTCTGGGAAGTCCAAAATTAGGACTCCCCTTTCCCTTTGTGGTTTCCAGCAACTGGTATTCAGAAGCATATTGCTTCTTGCTGTGGAGGCAGAGCATAGGCGTCAGAATTAGTGGCCATCAATGGCCTTATCTTCCATGAATTTGGCCCATGCTCTTTAAAATCCATCTAAGTTGGCCTTAATTGTCTCCTGTAGGAACAAGTCCCATAGTTTTAACTATGTGCTGTGTTGTTGTTGTTTAGTCGTGTCCGACTCTTCGTGACCCCATGGACCAGAGCACCCAGGCACTCCTGTCTTCCGCTGCCTCCCACAGTTTGGTCAAATTCATGTTAGTAGCTTTGAGAACACTGTCCAACCATCTTGTCCTCTGTCGTCCCCTTCTCCTTGTGCCAACGTCAGGGTCTTTTCCAGGGAGTCTTCTCTTCTCATGAGGTGGCCAAAGTATTGGAGCCTCAGCTTCAGGATCTGTCCTTCCAGTGAGCACTCAGGGCTGATTTCCTTCAGAATGGATAGCTTTGATCTTCTTGCAGTCCATGGGACTCTCAAGAGTTTCCTCCAGCACCATAATTCAAAAGCATCAATTCTTCAGCCATCAACCTTCTTTATGGTCCAGCTCTCACTTCCATACATCACTACTGGGAAAACCATAGCTTTAACTATACGGACCTTTGTCGGCAAGGTGATGTCTCTGCTTTTTAAGATGCTGTCTAGGTTTGTCATTGCTTTTCTCCCAAGAAGCAGGTGTATTTTAATTTCGTGACCGCTGTCACCATCTGCAGTGATCATGGTGCCCAAGAAAATAAAATCTCTCACTGCCTCCATTTCTTCCCCTTCTATTTGCCAGGAGGTGATGGGACCAATCAGCTATGGTTAGTGATGGGCTACTCCACCAATAATGGTTTCTCTCAGTTCCTTGTATTTCCAGTTTTAAGTTCAGTTTCCTCATTTCTTCATCAGTTTTCATGATTTTTTTTTAATGCATGGGGATAACAGGGCCAATTAACTATTGAAACCCTTTTGCATGCAGAATAAGGAGCATTTGGCTAGTAAATACTGGTTGGAGAGTAGATTTTACTTGTTGCAGTCACACACACACACACATAGATGCTTGTAGGTAATAAAATAGCAAAGTTGTTGTTTGTAGGAAGTACAGAATTGGGATATAAATGTTTCTAGTTTGAATCTAAGTAACTAGTCTAGCTCCTTTGATCTCGAAGAGGATAAATAAAGACAACTTCTCATATTTAAGTCTGAGAGAGGTGTATGAGCAGGATAGATTAAAGGTGCAGGGGCAGTCTGGGGATACCAAATATCAGGCAGCCCAAGTGATGGGCTCTTAGGTACAGAGGGCTAGTTTCGATTGTAACATAGGACCTGACTGTCCATATGTTCCTGCTGATAAATGGTCTTTCTCAGGCACGTTGTTGGGAACTCCTGGCCCTTCTCCTCGCCTCACAGCTCACTGCGCAAGCAAGGCAGACCATCCATCACCATAAACACACCGCCTGTCTTGCATTGTTGTTTAATTAAACAACAGAGATAATTTGCAGCCCATGTTGCAGTATAAATATTGTCCGACGCTTCGGCTCCATTTAACCTTAACAAGAAAATATGAATAACAAGACGGGGCGTGAAATATACAGTGGAGCAAAATAATCTATACAAATATTAGCTGGTGCTTATTTTCCACTTGGAAGACAGCAGCCTACCACTATGGGGGGAAGGCAACAGTTTGTGTGGAATTCTTTTTAATGTTATGCATGCATAAAAGCCAATTTGCTAAACCGAAAAAGTAATAGACTGAGGAAGCAAACTTTTAAAGGTTTTATTTAAATAATAACAACCAAAGCTGACCCTCCCCAGCTGCTTTTCAGCCAATGAGACATGAAGCACACCTTCCTCCTCTCCACAGGTCAAATGTTCAACCTTCACCAGCTGCTTAGGAAAGGTCCGTAGCTCATTGGTGGAGCATCTACTTTGCATGCAGATGGTCCCAGGTTCAAAGTCTGGTATCAGGTAGGGCTTGGAATATGATCAGTCTAGGAATCCTGGAGAGCCTCTGCCAGCCACTTTAGCCAATATGGAGCAAGTTGGGACAATAGTGTGACTCAAGGCAGCTTTCTAGGTTCCTAGACTTCTATGAAAACCACAACACCCCAGCAGAAAAAATATCAGAGATAATCAGCCAGGCATAAAAGAACATCTCATCTCATCAAACATTTGAAATAGAGCAGTATCTTGACCCCAGGATTATTGGTTTGTTTTTGTTCTTGTCCTTGTGCTTGTTTTTATTATGCATTCCGTCTTCTCATTTTATATTTTTATGTTGTGAGCTGCCCTGTGATATTCCTATGAATGGCGGTATATAAACTTAATAAACAAATAATAAAAGATGACAAATCAGCCTCACTGGGGAGAGCATTCTGTAGGCAGCAAGAGGAGGGCACTTTTGAAAAGACTCTATAGGAGTCTTATCTATAGGATGCTGTAGTGCACATACGCCCCCACCTCCAATAGCATAAGAATAATGAATTATGCAAGGAAATTTCTGTGATTCATGCATGTTGCAGAATTATTCCTTTCTCGTTGCAGAAATTAAAGTTGCATTGCTGCCCAACTTTGTCTTTTTTCTTCCTTTAGCTTAGAATCCCTGCAGTCCTGCTTATATGGTTTATTTCCTTTCTCTTATGCTTCTCCCCTTGCAGAGGATGCTTATAAAACACAAGTACGTATAGATGATGAGCCTGCTTATTTGGACATTCTGGACACTGCTGGACAAGTGAGTAGTTTCTCTGCCTGGACAATTTGAGCTGCCAATGAAAGTTGCCACAGAGTGTGCGTGAGGATACTGAAAAAATAAGAGAAGCCTACATATACATGTGTGTGTGTGTGTGTGTGTGTGTGTGTAGTAAGGTGAGAACTCCCCTTCCTCTAAAACAGTGGTTCTCAACCTGTGGGTCCCCACATGTTGTTGGACTACAACTCCCATCATCCCTAGCTAGCAAGGCCAGAGCTTAGGGATGATGGGAGTTGTAGTCCAACAACATCAGGGGACCCACAGGTTGAGAACCGCTGCTCTAAAACATGGGTAGGCAAACTAAGGTCCGTGGGCTGGATCCGGACCAATCGCCTTCTAAATCTGGCCTGCGGATGGTCTGGGAATCAGCGTGTTTTTACATGAGTCGAATGTGTCATTTTATTTAAAATGCATCTCTGGATTATTTGTGGGGCATAGGAATTCATATACTTCTTCCAATCTTCTGTAAATCTCTGGTCCCGCAGGTTTCGAATCCTTCCTGTCGTTTTGTCCAATTCTGCATAGTCCATTAATTTCATCTGCCATTCTTCTTTCATCAGAATTTCTTCTTGCTTCCATTTCTGGGCTAACAATACTCTTGCGGCTGCCACATTGGTTTCTCACCACCACCACCACCACCTCTATAGGTGAGAACTTCAGTCTGAACACAGAGCCACATTCCCCAAAACTGCCAGGTTTTGCCTGATAACATCAATGGGTGTTGGCTAGACAATGCCTTGGCAATCACCAGTGTGCAGTCAGCGAAGTGTGTTGCGTGACTGTGTTTAGGGAGGTGCATTTAGAAAAGGAACAGGAGATCAAGAGACTGTTTGAAAATGTACCTAACAGTTGTGGAGGATCTGTTCCAAGGTACAGAGACTCCCATTTGCTTTTGTTATTGTTGTCAGAGGAATGGGAAACAGAAGGTAGATCTTATTAACTCACTGGCAGGGAGCTAGGATGCTTTCTTTCCCCCCTTTGAAGCATCATATTCCCTGAGATTGAACATTGATAATGGCAATCATTGCATCTGTCCTGCACTGTCTCTGTGGGCTCTTGTTTATTGATGCTAATTAATGTTTTGCATTCCAGTGTTCAAAGATGTTATAGAAAGTAAACGCATTTGATGTTTATCTTAATGGATATCTAGTGAGTTAAGCCTGTATGATGATATTGAACATTTTGGCAATCTACAAGGGTTAAGTGCAGTTTCATAGTGGCTAAGTGCAATCAGGACACTTTTAATAGAGGTAAAAGTCCTATTTGCATAACTACCTGAAGAACAAAAGATCCCAGTTCCCCCCAACCCCCCCCAAAAAAACCTAAAGATGTGTACAATCTACACTGAAGTGTATTCAGTATTTACAAGAAACTATATAAATCATATTTCAAACCAAGCTTCTTGCAGCTTTCCACATAATTGTATTCTGGGCAATAGTTATATTTTAAAATGCCTTCTTCTAATAAAATAAAAATAATTTTCACAAACTGTTTTCCCACCTGTTGCATTATTGCTTCAAAATAAGAATTTCTTTCCAAGGTCGGTGATTGGGGGAAAATGTCAGTTCAGTGATGCAATGGAAATGGTATCAGCTGTTGAGTGTGGGTGTTCATTTACAGGCAAATTATGCCAAGAGAAAACTATTATTTAATCATTGCAAATAATTAATTAGATACGGATGATAATAATATAATGATATTCAAAAAAGTTTATATCTGTCTATCTGTCTATCTAGCTATACATCATAGGCTTGGGAGTGGTAAATCCTCACTCAATACCTACATTTCCAACATTGGATGGTAATAATTACAACGCGGGTGGTGCTGTGGGTTAAACCACAGAGCCTAGGACTTGCCGATCAGAAGGTCGGCGTTCAAATCCCCACGACGGGGTGAGCTCCCATTGCTCGGTCCCTGCTCCTGCCCACCTAGCAGTTCGAAAGCACGTCAAAGTGCAAGTAGATAAATAGGTACCGCTCCGGCGGGAAGGTAAATGGCGTTTCCTTGTGCTGCTCTGGTTCGCCAGAAGCAGCTTAGTCATGCTGGCCACATGACTCAGAAGCTGTACACTGGCTCCCTCGGCCAGTAAAGTGAGATGAGCGCCACAACCCCAGAGTCGGCCACGATTGGACCTAATGGTCAGGGGTCCCTTTACCTTTACGTTTATTTTAATTGGAATCTTACATGGCACACCACATATCACCCATTGATAGGTTACAGTCAGGAGTCTTTCACAGCCCTATCTGGGGATACCAGCAATTGAACCAGGGATCTTCTGCATGCAGCTTGCTCTACCATGGAGCTAAGGTCTTTCACTACACTGAAATAGACCATTCGTCCATCTAGCTCAGTATTGTCCACCTTGACTAGCAATGTCTCACCAGGTTTTCAAGCAAGGGGACATCCCTAGCCCTACCTGGAAATGTCAAGGTATGAGCCTTAGACCTTCTGCACACGAAGCAAATGTTCTACCACTGAGGTATGACTATTCCCTCGTGGAATCTAGTGAGCATTCCTGGGGCAGGACCTGGGATCGTCTACATTCAAAGCAGATTCTCCACAATGGAGCTTTTGTCTTCTCTATCCTGCTTCTTGGTTATACCAGAGTGTGATGAGATGTTGACAAAAAAAACAATGAAATGTTGAAATCCCACTTTTATACATAGATACCTTGTTCAGAAAGGGGAGTGTAGGAGAAGGACAAAGTAAGAGAAGATCCACAGGTCTCAAGGGACTCAATACTTACCAGAAAAAGCTATCACCTTCAAACTCCTTCGGGACCTTTTCTTCTCCTTCCAGTCCTTTCTGCTCTTTCCTCAAACATAATGACTGAGCTATTAATCCGTTCCCTTTACTATTAATGATGCATTTTGTGATTTAAGGTGAAAATCCATTTTATACTATCCTGCATGCAGATGAGAAGAGAGCACATAGTTTATAGTGTGCAATAAACCAAATGAAGCTGGATTTCTTTTTTACTTTATTTTTCTTTAAGGAGATTCAACAGTGAATCTTGCTCCACTGACTGCATCTAAGAGAAAATGATCAAGGTGTTTCTCCTTAAGGAAAAAGCCATTCGCATTAAGATGAAAGACAAAATTTGCCAAGCGGGACACTGTTGCACAGAACTGTTTTACTGCAAGTGGGAAGGAGCACCGCCACCCCTTCTGTTTAAGGGATGAATCCAGAACCAAGGCTGGAGGAACTCAATATTTTCATATTCCTAGAAGAAATGATCTGGTCTGCAATTCATTAATGTGGAATTTTTGCTTTCTCCAAAAGTTGTGATTCGCAGTTTGAGCATATCGCAATACACATGTAAATGTGCATTTCAAGAAAAAATACACTTTACATTTTTTTAAATACCTAGAACACTGAATGTAAAATTTACCTTTGTATATTAGGCTAGTTTCTTCACACACATATACCTCTCTATCTTCCATCCAGGCAAGCAAGAAGCATGATCAGAGTTCAAGGACATATTCCAGCCAGGAATATAGGGTGTAAAGTAGAGCAGGCAAAGTGTGTCACTTGGGGAGAGTCTTGAGGGCCAAATAGAGGGGTCTGGAGTCTGGGTCTGAGGTTCCCAACTCCTGCAACACATAGCATCTAGGCATGTCTGTTCCAGTGAAGGCAATAATCAGCACCTTGGACTGTTCATCATAGACACTAATGCAAAATTGTGCTTATGCAACCTAAGGTCTGTTCTCAAGGAGGGTGCAAAAGTGAGGGATGTGGCTCAGAAAGTTATGTGGCCTAGGTCGAGTCTTGGGGGCCATATAAAGCTTCCAAGTCTGAGGTTCCCCATTCCCACCTGAGAGACTTTTTAGCTTAACATATAAAAGAAACACAATGGAATTGTGTGCAAAAGAATAAAAATGCTGACTTGGGAAAGCCATAGGTAGATTCACCTATTGAGGTTGCAACCCAAAACACCTTTACTGTGTGGGACTTACTGGTACCTTTGAGCAGATGTGGGCAGGGGTATTGATTTTGTGAAATGGAACCAATTCAGAGAACCCTAAAATTGGGAGCAGTCCCAAGGAGACTGTCAGCCAGTTGCCTGCCTGGTCTTTTCTTGGGAACATCCTTCGTCCAGTTCTTCAGTCTTTAAGCCCAGGAACAGATGGCATTTGCTTGCGCACATGTCCTAGATACCACCTGCTGTCTGCTGTCTTCATCCGTTTTCCCATTTGCCGTCTCTCTTTGTAAACTTTGTTA